AGAAAATGTAGCTTTTAAATCATTATTATGACATGAATATTGAAAACGACAAAAGGAAACATTTCTGTTTACGTTTTAGAAACATTTTTGGTTGAATTATTTTTTAGTCAGATATAAAGACGGCCATTTGATAGCGCTAAAATAGCGAATGGAATGTTGAATTGTATAGTTATTACTGTAAACACTGAATGTAGCGGGTTTTATTATAATAGCAATGTTAAGTGTACTTGGTTGTTGCAGCTGTCTCCGGGCGGCTTGTCCCCGCAGACGCCGACTGCGCCCGAGCCGCTCCCGCTGAGCAAAGAGCTTGCCGACGCCGCCGCTACCGAGAAGGTCAAGCCAACTGAACCAGAAAACAACGACGGACGCCTCGGAGACTTGCATTTCAAGCTACGGTGAGTATAACACTTTATTTGTGCACTTTAAAAAAAATAAAAACCCCTTTACACCGACGTAGCTGGCGTTACAATGTAACCTTTCCTCCTCCCTGTGGTCTATACAGTTTGTGTGCGGTGCATGAGGAATCGACGCACAGAAGAAAACTAAAGCATATAAGACAGAAAATTGCCTTATGTACTGGTGGTAAAATATTTAGCTTATAATGTGTAAAGATAAATTATGCGTACTTTAATTAAAATTATTCTCTAAAATGCGTAACATATGGAACTTTAGAATTTAAAATTTCCCAACCAGTTATGAGAGTTTAAATACGTTTCAACGCTTCGGGAATGTTCCATAAAGGTGCTTGGAAATTTTAGCGAACGTTCGTGAATAAAACTCGTTTGCAGGTGGATTATTAAAACTTATCTGTAGGAAAGGTTTTAAAATATACCTCGTTCGGGATTAATATCGAAGGATGGATAATGACAACCCTTTATAATTCATTGCTTAATACATTCTGTGGAATATTTCGTTTTATCGAATATTATCATAAATTGGAGCATAAAATTCTCCATATTTTTAAATACTTTTTTTTATATATGGAGTACTTCATTCCAAAAATAAGAGATAATGGACATCCTTCTTAAACTTTAAGAAAATAAAACATGGAGAAAATGGTGTTCCTTGAACTTGAGTAATCTACCTAATTTTTTATCTGTGAAGCTTGATTGCTGAATTTTAGGAAGGCACTATCTTTTTTATCTTCACGGTTTAGGATCTTTTGTTATAACTTTATAAACGAGATAACGTATGGAGGGTCACCTGTTCGCCATCTTTGTGACGTCACATAATCCAATAGCAGATAAGTCGATTAGTTGAGGCCCGTCTGTGTCGTCAGCCGTCAGTACCGCGTATATTGAATTACGTAACTACACTGACGGACTAACTACAGACTCATTTCATTAGTAAAGCTATCAACTTAACTGTACTAATATTATATCTTGGGATTTCTTATGCATTGAAATAACTCAAAAACTACTCAATTTTTTTTTACCATTAGAAAACTACGTTATCGGAAATTAACATAGGTTATTGAACACTTTACAATAATACAATTCCAACAAATTATAATTTAAAACATGAACATGACTATAATCTTATTAAATGATGTCAGAACGAAATATTTTGTCATTAAAAATAGAACAGGGTGAATACGATATTTCAATTTAAAATTTCTAAGATCAAATTTGCTACGCCTACGAAGTATGTCTACGAAATAGTAAGTCTACGAACAAAGCTACGAAAAAATATGATAATTTGTTGAATATGTTTCAAAGGTTATTATGTGTTGATGTGTCACAGGGCAGTGGCAGTAAATGGATACGAAATCAATAAATTGTCGGTCGGTTCGCCCACATTCGGCCAACATGTTTGCAGGGCGGATCGCGTTAGGAGGAAAATTGCTTTTAACACATATATGCTAATGTATAATTACTTTGAACGTTGTTTTATTTAATTATATTGAACTAACTTCCGCCCGCGACTCCGTCCGAGAGGTATTAGTAAAAACAAAAGAAAGTAACCTATCTGTTCTTCGAGGCTATCCCCTGCATCTGTGCCAAATTTCATCCAGATCATTTCAGCCTTTTAGACTACAAACTTTAAGAAACACCTATCCATCCATCCAAACTTATAGTATACACATTTATAATATTATAAGTAAGACAAAATAAATATACACTTAGAAAGTATAGTTGACATATTGTTTTAGACACACATTTACAGGCTGTATGATTGTAGCAAAGAGTTTAGAAGTGTACCACAATAGCATCCAAAACATATTATCTCTGCTAACCCTTTTAGATCAAAGGCATGATTATGTTGTTGATTTGGACGTAATTAAGTGTGTAATGTGATGATTTGATAGAGTCTTCTCAAAACTTATATAAACAAAGTGTATATACTATCTTGTAAGTGTTCACGTAATAACAGTGAAAAAAGGTGTATTGTTTCGCATAACAAATTAACTTTTTCAATAAACTTAATACTGTAATACGTCCTGTAACAAAACCTTATCTCAGATGAGTTTTCTGGAAAACAAGTTTCGGAAACGCAACTTCGCTACTAAATTGGATTTCGTTTAATTAATTTTCGTACAACACGAGAAAGCTTACGGAGTATCGGATTAATCTTAGTAACGGATCTCGTTACGCTCTGATTCAATTTCTAACCAAATAATACAATTCAAGTAACAAAAATAACTTTTCTATTTACGAATAATAATGAAAAATGTTACACGATTAGAAACATTTAATAATTAAACCATTTTTATAGTTTACTATGTCTATATTGGTGGTTTACCTCTTTCGGGTTATTAACAACATTGTAAACATTGTTTTACGTTGTAGAATTCTCTTAATATTAAAATATTTCTAGAGCGAAGTTTAATCTACTTTGATCACTATATAATCTGTAATCAAACTCGGCTTTAGCTAAATTTATCGCTGACAACGCTCGCAAGCACATAAGCGGATATTCTGTTGTCCAGTAAAATTGTAAAATCAACATTTATGCCGAATAAATGGTACCATTAATTCTGCTTAAATGCGTGAAATGCAAATTTCGTTAACTGAACACTGATATTAACTTGCGACCATATTTCAATGTAATCTAGTGGCTGTTACATTATGGTTTTAACATATGACAGATGCACACTTTTGAGTAAACAATCGCATCACCTGTTGTGTGATTGTCGATTGTTTCGCAGCGCATTCAACTGTTTAGTTGCATAACTAAAAATCGAGTAGTGTACCTCCTTATAAGTAGAATAATAAGGTTTTAAGTTATACTTAATGTCAATTATAAAGCACAAGGATTAACTTGATGAAAACGATAAATAGTTTTACAGCTGTCATCCGACAACGTCCGCGGAAAAAACGTAATTCATTCCTCGCTTATGTGTTCTTCCAGACTATGTTCTACATCTGTGTCAAAT